AAGCCCGGGGGCCGCTCTGGTAAAACGGGCCAGCTTGGAGCGGGGCGAGGTGGCGCAGCGGGGCGGCAGAGGCCGGGGAAAGTTTCCAGCGTGTCCCTGCCAGGGTGCGATTCCCTGCGGGGCGGGCTCTGTCCCTGCCGCCGAGCTCACCCCAATGACTGCAGGGTGAGGCGGTGTTCTCGCTCTGTGCTGCTAGAGCGCCTAGGCAGCCCTCGCACCAAAGTCGTACAGACTTGCCAAGCAAGCTTTGTACTGTGGATAGACTGGGACAGTGGCACAAGGCACAATCCTAGTACAGCCCGCACGATAGAGGTGCGCATTGTCCAGCAGTGGAGCGGTAGCAGGTGTTTCTGGTAAGAGCAGAGAAACAGCCACAGAGTACAAGTAAGAGTGCGTAACGGAGGGGGTGGATTGGGCAGGGAACTAAATGGGATGTTGCTTCTCTGAGTCATTTGCATCTGAGCTCTGACTTGTGAATCTCGAGCATTTTTTAGTTGCATGACTTTGGCCTTTTCAGCTCTCTTCCCAGACCGTGTAAGTGGCTCTGCATGGAGCATGTTTACTTCAGTAGGCTTGAGTCTGCCAACAGGTAGTCAGTTGCAGGATTGGGAAATTTAAAAGGCAAAAATATTCTTGCTTGTTTCAGTGGATGTAGCTGGTGTCTGAATTTTTATTTGAGCGGGAGGGGGAGTGATAGAAAAGGGAAGGCATGGGGAAAAGCCGAACAAGCTAAGTGAGGAGGACATCACTGTTAAGCCTGAAACCCCACTTCCTTAGGCTGGCTTGTGAACTGCTAAACTCAGCATTGGCACCATTCCAAGATGGATCTTTTTCTATGGATCTTTCTGCGCCTGATTTTTTTTCACACCAGTTTTGCCCTAGCTGCCTTTCTTTACATTGTAGTTTTAAAGGTGAAATTCTCCATACTCAGTCATTCACAGTAACATTTAACACTGTTGAGATATCTGTGTATCTAATTGGTGGTCACAACTGAGTATCTGGGTCCCAATGCTTCAGTTAGATCTCATGGGCAGATCCTTGTATCTGCATGGATTGCAATTGAGATCCAGTTGCAGGATTGGGATCGTTGTCATGTGAATAATATTAATTGTCCCTGTAGTTTTCTTCGTTCTCCCAAAGCAGGTACAAGTAGGGAAGGCAGGTTTTAAAAATTTTACTCAGGAATAGTGCAAATCTTAAAGAAGAGACTATTGGATATTCTGGATTATATTTACACTATAAATATAAGTTTATACTTGCTACGTTTGCCAGCCCCACCTTTGCTGCAGCCAGATCATGGTCTCTCCTACCTGTGCTGTAGCAGGAGGGGTCAGATGAGGACTGCACCATGGGGCCTGTCCCAGGATCAGAGCCAGGGACAGGACACTGTGGCCAGATGGGGGCTGGGCCCCAATTGAGGCCTGGTTGGCCAGGTTTAATTTTAAATAAAGTAAAATATTATGTCCAACACAAAAAGGTTTCAACATTGTAAGGGTTTCAACATTAACTTCATTGGAGACAATTTTTTATTGTAGAAGGTTGAGAAAGCTAGAAGGGGGGGAAGCTGTTCTTGATGTTGTTTTTAACAAAAATGGAGGAATTGGTTGAAAAATTTAAAGTGGAAGGCAGCTTGGGAGAAAATGACCATGAAATCATAGAGTTCATAATTCTAAGGAATGGTAGAAGGGAGAACAGCGAAATAGATTGGATTTCAGGAAGGCAGATTTTAGTAATCTCAGAGAGCTGGAAGGTAATGTCTCATGGGAAGCAAGAGTAGGAGGAAAAACAATGGAAGAGAGTTGGCAGTTTTTTAAAGGGGCCCAAAAGCAAACTTCCACTGCGTAGGAAAGATGAAAAAAGTATGACAGGACATCAACTGGGAGATCTTACATGATGTAAAAATCAAACAGTTGTATAAAAAGTGGAAACTAGGTCAAATTACAAAGGATGAACAAAAGCAAACACCGCAGGTATGCTGGGCAAGATTAGAAAGGCAAAGGCACAAAAAGAGCTAAATCTAGCTAAAGGCATAAAGGATAACAAGAAGACATTCTGCAAGTATATTAGGAGCAAGAGGAAGACTAAGGACAGGGTAGGGCTATTGCTCAGTGAGGCGGGAGAAACAATAACAGGAAACTTGGAAATGGCAGAGGTGCTTAATGACTTTGTTTCGGTTTTTGTCAAGAAAAACATAGTGATGCCTAACATAGTGAACACAAGTGGAAATGGGGTAGGTTTAGAAGTTAAAATAAAAGAACAAGTTAAAAATTCCTTAGAAAAGTTAGATGTGTACGAGGCATAAGGGCCTGATGAAATACACCTAGAATACTCACAAAGTTAGATGTGTACGAGGCATACATGAAATACACCTAGAATACTCAAAGAGCTTATAGAGGAGGTATCTGAGCCTTTAGCTATCATCTTTGAAAAATCATAGAAGTGGAGAGAGATTTGGTTGCCCCACCTCAAAATATTAGGGAAAACAAAGAGAAGTACAACAAAAAATATTAGTGTTTTAGAACTGCTTCCAGATGAGGAGAAGCCTAAAAACCCGAGACTGTTAATCAGACAAGAGATGGTCGAGGGGCGATATGATTGAGGTCTGTAAGCTCATTGGATGACCGTTGTATTAATAGGCAGCAGGTTTAAAACAAACAAAAGGAAGTACTTCACACCATGCACTGTCAACCTGTAGAACTTCTTGTCACGGGATGTTGAGCTGGTCAGAAGAATAAATAGGTTCAAAAAAGAAGTAGGTAGGTCCACCAATGTTTACCAGTCAAGAGGATCAGGGACACAACCTTGGGTGTTTCTAAGCTTTTGATTGCCAGAAGGTGGGATTTGATGATGGGGGAAGGATTAGTTGATAGTTGCCCTGTACTGTTAATTTCCTCTGAACCATTGGCACCAGCAGTTGTCAGAAGACAGGAAGACAGTTGTCAGAAGACAGGGTTAGATGGTCTGACCAGTATAGCCATTCTTTAATATTAAAGACCATAAGAATGGCCACACTGAATCAGACCAAAAGTCCATTTAGCTCAGAATCCTGTTTTCTGACAGTGGCCAATGCTAGATGCCCCAGAAGGAATGAACAGAACAGGGAATCATCAAATGATCCCTCCCTGTTGCTCATCCTCAGCTTCTGGCAAAGAAAGCTGCTCAGCCCTGCCCATTCTGGCTACTAGCCAGTGAGGGACCTATCCTCCATGAACGTATCTAGTTTTCACTTGAACCTTGTTGTTCTCTTTGCCACAGCCTGTTGTGACGGCCAAGAGTTCCACAGGTTGACTAAGCATCGCACGAAGAAACACTTGCTTTTGTTCATTTTAAGCCTGCTACCTATTCATTTATTTTGGTTCTTGTGTTACAAGAAGGATTAAATAACTTCATTTACTTTCTCTGCAACAATCCTGGTTTTATAGACCTCTATCGTATCCCCCACAGTAGTTTGTTTTCCAAGATGAAAAAATCCCTGTCTTACTAATCTCTGTTCACATGAAAGCTGTTCCATACTCCTAATTGTTTGTTGCCCTTTTCTGAACCTTTTCCAATTCCAATATAATGCCAGTTTTGAGCTTCACTTGAACTCCCACTTGCCATTAGCAAGGGTGTGCGTCAGCAGGTGACAGAGCCATGTCTTCGTTCCCCAACACATTTCATAACTGTTCCGCTGGCTTTCATAACACTTGCTAGACATCCTCTGTTGTACTTCTCAATTGCAAACTACATCACCACCCTAACTTCCCCAGGCATTCAGAACCTCCAGCCATGTCCTGCTTTCAGGCCTTGCTAAACACCAGTCCCACTGAAGCGCACAAGGACAGAAAGGAGGATACCATCTAAAGTTAACACAGAAGGGATGAGATTTCCTTTATCCTGTGTTGTCCTATATCAAAATTCTCTCCACCTTACTCTGAGAAGCACTGTTGTTGTTGCTGAGCCAGCATCTATTAAAAATGAAAAACTGTTTTTTCTCTTCAGCTTTCAAGTGATATTATCAAATGCATGACACTGCACATAGAAGACACTGTATTAAACTAAGTTCTAGTATACATTATATTCAGCTGCTATAGTTTGGATTTTTTTGCATAATAAAGGAAATTAAACATTAAAAGGAAAGATGGGGAGGAGCGGGTTTTGTTTTATAACACACGGTTGTTTTGACCATTCATTTTAAAAGGGTTGGGATTTGCTTACCTGTCGGTGATTCAAACAATAGCTAGAACAAAAGTGTTTTTCAAATTGCAACAAGGACAATCCTACAGATGTTCTTTTTTAACTTGTAAAATGAAAGCTGTAGGAATTTAAAAGAGATTCAGACCCTTTTGAACCTACTACTCAACATGCACTCTTTATGAAAGTACAAAAGAGTATCCATTAAAGCTCTCACTGATTTGGCACACTAACAAGTTTGACATTCTCAAACTCTTTGAGAGTCTCAACTGGAACGAGCTAAACAAAGGAGATGAAATGTCCTGGTTAAGTTACGGTAATCATCCCCTTTTAGAGATGGGGAAATTAAAACAGCTACCTAAAGTCCTGTCACTACAATTTGTAAATATAGATTTTAAAAGCGCAGAAATTATATTAACTGTCCACACATACCCTCCAAATTTAGAAGGGAAAAGTTTTCTTTGACAGTCTAGTTTTAGCTCAATCCTTTATTAATGACAAGTTATCAATTTTACCTCCCCCCCCAAAAAAAAAAAGATTTAAAATGGAAGTCCTAGTAAACACTCAGTTAATACTTTACTATCCATTTCTTACAAAAAGAATCTAAAATATTCAGTTTATAAGACTACTTCTTCCTCTATCCCTTTTCTTACCTCTAAGTACACACCCTCAGTTGTCAGGCCTCATGCCTTTACTAATCCCCAGGTTTAACTCTGCCACTCTCAGACCAGGCCCCAGGCTACATTATCCTGTGTGTCAACTAGGGATGTCAACATGTACTCAACTATATGATTAATCAATAAGTCTAGGCTTAAGGGTTAATCTTGTCAACTACATGCATATCCCTCCCCCACCTTGCTGTCTTAAAAGCCAGTTTTCCCCAGCACTGGCTCCAAGATACTGCTTGCCCTGCCCAGTGCTGATGCCTCTGTCAGAGGCAACAGAGGGAGAGGAAGCGCAGCACTGGCAGCGGAGGCTGTCACGAAGCAGCCTGTCAGCGGGGGATCTGAGTGCCTCGCAAACAGAGGCTGCTCTGCATGCCACTCGGATCCCCCTCTCCCCCAGACAGCCCTTGCCAGTTAACCAAAACCAGTAAGCATCACCCTATAAGTTTCTCTAATATCCTGGCACTGACAACACCACAGTAATACTGCATATCTTACGTAAAGGCTGACCATGTCCAGTTGGTAACTTAAGCATCTCTTCTTCAGAGACGCTATTTCTGTCTGTCTGTCTGGTTCCCCAAACAATGTCCCCTGCTCTTGAGAGAGTATTCTCTTTACAGCTATCCAGAACTTCTTAAATCTGTGCTGCGTAGACATCTTTTCCATCTGGGCACTGTCTCAATGCTAAGGATGTTACATTTCGAGTGACTAATCGAATAGTTGATGCAATTTGCATCGACTGTTCAATTAGTTGATAGTGCGTCTTCACGTTTGAAGTGTAACAGCCATAGGACTGGTGCTACACTTCAAAGGTGAAAGCGCTGCAGGGAGCATGGAGCCAGCGGGGAAATCCCCCACTGTCCCCATGCTCCCTACATTGTTTCAAAGAGGCAGCACTGTGTGGAGCCCAGAGTCAGAAGAGGACTCCCCTGCATGACCCCGTGCTTCGTGCGGCGCTGCTGCTTTGAAATGCTGCAGGGTGTCCGGCATCAGGCTGCATACAGAGTTTCAAAGCGGCAGCACCACGTGGAGCCCAGGATCAGCTGGGGACTCCCTCACTGACCCCGGGCTCCATGCAGCGCTGCCGCTTTGAAACACCATGGTGAGCCCAGCGTCAGGTTCCTTTTTGCGCCCCTGGGGAGGCATAAGGATCTTGTGCTAAAAGGGATTATTCTGTAAGTTGGGAGAAATCCCAGTCCCCCTGCTGGGGAAGGGGGAATGCTTCTTCCCTGCAAGCCAGATCGCACAGCGAGGCTCAAGGCTTTCCTCCTCCTCTCCTCCCACCTCACCTCCCGCCCACCATGGGAGGCTGGCGCTCTAACCTTGTGGGAGAGCGAGGGTGAGGCGGGAGCACCAGTGCAGGCTCACCACTGTGGGCGGGAAAGACGGGAGGCTGAGCTCGAGCCGTGGCCCACTAGTGGTCCGCAGAGCACAGGCTGAGAAACACTGCCTTAAGCTGAGCTGAGCTTGGAGGCATCCACACAGTGGGAGCAAAGACTCCCATTGACTTCCCTTACTCGTTATGACTGCGAACACGCAAACTTGAATGCCAGAATGTTGATCTCCAGTGCAGCAAGCGTAGATATGCCCTTGGCAAAGAACAGGATTAGGTCAGTAGTAGCGAAGGGATCTCCTAAAATCAGAGGATATTTTTCATTGCATTCACTAACAGTGCATGAGTTAGTGGTGTACTAACTGTTTTTAGTAGATATCTTCCCAGTTGGGGGGCTGCCAAAAAATGATCTGGACTGTTTCCATTTAACTCCTGCAATTCACTCTTTAATGGTTCAGACTGTACCCCAGCCAGGAATTGTTTCATTGGGCAAGCATTTCAGGAAGGAACCACTCTTGTGCTCCCATCAGCTAACTGTGCCAGGGTGTTTACATCGAGCCAGCATGCCTGATTGATTGATTGATGCCATGTATTGAAGGTGACGGTGGTTTTCTTCTTTTCTCCCCATAGAGTAAACGGAGATGGCATTTGTGAAGAGCGGATGGCTGCTTCGGCAAAGTAAGTGATGAGCTTGTTCACTACTTTCTCCCACGCATAGTTTAGCTGCACGTCTAGGGTTTTTTTTATAGGCCATCAGTTGGAAACAAAAAATTTCCTTTGTCCTGTTTAAACAGCTCTCTGAGGTTGATCTCAAGGATATTGGACCATAAAAACATCCTATTTTGATAGAATCATCATCTGACCTTTCAGATTACAGTAGGCATTGCTATAGCTGAGTGTGCCGGGTCTTGTTGTCTGCTGCTTGCATGGTCTATAACTAAAGCTTTATGAAAAATAAAAACCCAAACAGACCATTGTAAGTGGGGCTTGGAAAATATACCTGATGCCTACTCGCTTTTGATTATTTATTTGGTCACTAGCATGTTAGAATCCTGAAGCATTATGTTGTTTGCTTAAAAAAAAGAAATTAGCAATCACAATGCTAATTGTTAAATAAGGAATGACGTGTAGGGCCTAGCTGTCGTGTGTTTTATTTGCGTTTTAAAGTTGAGAGATCCTGATGCAAAATTAATTCTTCCAGGCACTATTTTACGACGTTGGAAGAAGAATTGGTTTGACCTGTGGTCTGATGGCCATTTGCTGTTCTATGATGATCAGCATCGCCATGACATAGAGGATAAAATCCACATGCGAGTGCACTGT